CTCTAAGTTATCCATTCTTGTTATCATTTCCTCATATCTTTTTTTAAGTTCCTTAGTTTCTTTGCATTGATTTAATACATGTTCTTTTAGCTCACAAAAGTTTCTCATTATCCACCTTCTGAAGTCTAATTCCGTCATTTCATCACAGTCATTCTCCGTCCAGCTTTGCTCCCTTGCTGGTGAGGAGTTTTGGTCCTTTCTAGGAGGTGAGGTGTTCTGGTTTCGGGTGTTTTCCTCCTTTTTTCGCTGGTTTCTTCCCATCTTTGTGGGTTTATCCGCTTGTCGTCTGCGTAGTTGCTGACTTTTCGATTGGGTCTCTGAGTGGACACCCAGATTGTTGATGATGAAGTATTTCTGTTACTTGGTTTTCCTTCTACCAGCCTAGCCCCTTCGCTGTATGACTGCTGAGGTCCACTCCAGGCCCTGCTTGTCTGGGGTACACCTCTAGCAGCTGTGGCATAGTCAGGGATGCTACCCGTTTCTTTTTCTGCTATCTTTGTCCCAGGATGATGCCTGCCAAATGTCAGTCTTTTGGATATAGAGGGGTCAGGGAGCTGCTTGAGGAGACAGTCTGTACTTTTTTGGAACTCAGTTGCTGAGCTGTGAGCTCTGTTGTTCATTCAGGGCTGTTAGGCTGCTATGTTTGATTCTGCTGCAACAGAGCTCATTAAAAAAAACCCTTTTTTTCTCAAATGCTCTGTGTTGGGGGGTTCAGGCTTTATTTTTTGATGTCCGATGAGGTGTCCTGCCCAGCTAGAAGGCAGACTAGCCACTGTTTGGCTGCCCAGTCTCCGCCCTGCTGTTGTGTGATTCGCCCTGTTCCTGCAGGCTCTGCTGTGGTCTCCACCATGCCCTGCGGTGGAGTCTCTTCGTTGTAGCTTGTTGCCTCGGCAACGGCAGGCTGTGTCAGCAGTGGGCGTGTATCTCAGTAGGGACGGGTTGCCTCGGCAACGGCTGGCTGCGTCAGCAGTGGGCATGTATCTCAGTTGGGGCGGGTTGCCTCGGTAGTGGTGGACGCCCCTCCCCCACAGAGCGTCTCGGACCGTCTGCTCGGGATAGTTTGAAATCGCGGTTTTGTTCATCCCACTGGGTGTCCCAAACGATCTGTCCCTGCAATCCCCTGGGCTGGCCTACTGTCCAAGTCTCATTCAGTCTCAAGTCCAGCCCTCTCAAGTCTCAGGTTGCTGGTTCAACAGGGCACCTGGACAAGTGTGCCCTGTGGGGATTGCTGGGTAGGGCCGGCCGCCGCCGCCGCCCTGGCTGCCGGCTTCGCCAGGCAGACCTACTGCCTGGCGTCCCATGTCTTTTTTATACTTGGGAGTTTCCCCGTTCTGTGGGCAACAAAGATCAGTCTGGAAATGCAACTCCGACTCACAGTTTGCGGATTCAACGAGAGCTCCAATCCTGGTTGTTCTCACAGCGCCATCTTGAGTCCTCCCCCCGGGTCTTACTTCTTAAGACAGCATCTTTCTTCAGAGCCAAGAAACTCCCCAAGCTGAGTTTCATCCAACTTTGTGGCTCCAAGTAGGATGAGCTCTTGTACTCACATACAGCCTCTCCTGAGCTAATAATAAACAATGCTACAGAAACCCCAAAGACAACGTAGTGACAGGTGACAGAGCTCTCAGATGAACACATGCTCCTAGACTCTGCCAAGTAGAATGAGTCTCTTAGAGCAGCTGTGTTGTCTATGCAAAAGAAATCCTCCTCAACATCTTATGACATTTAAAAAAGTCATGTTCTGGGCCAGGCACGGTGGCTCAAGCCTGTAATCCCAGCACTTTGGGAGGCTGAGGCGGGTGGATCACAAGATCAAGATCGAGACCATCCAGGTCAACATGGTGAAACCCCATCTCTACTAAATATATAAGAAAAATTAGCTGGGCCTGGTGGCGTGTGCCTATAATCCCAGCTACTTGGGAGGCTGAGGCGGGAGAATTGCCTGAACCCAGGAGGCGGAGGTTGCGGTGAGCTAAGATCGTGCCATTGCACTCCAGCCTGGGTAACAAGAGCAAAACTCCGTCTCAAAAAAAAAAAAAAAAAAAAAGATCATGTTCTTCAGGTAATTTTCCATGTACCATTGATCAAGCACATTAACTTTAAAGATATTCTTCTCATTTAAGCTATTATTGGGGAAAATCCTATTATTAAAATTTTAGGGAAATGATTCCTACCTAACTCACCAAATACACTGAGATATGATTATGTGTAGGCCCATCTGTGATTTTTACTTTTCAGTCTTGTTTATAATGGAGAGGAGACGCCATGTCCTCTCTCCCTTACTGTTAGTAATGTTTCATACCAGCAGCAGTTCTTCCAGGTGAGTCCCACACTACTCAGTGGTTCTGTTTTCTTCTCTTCTTATGCACTCTACTCACTTGAACTGATTCGGAAATGGTACATGTTGAGGGGTTGCCTAGACTCAGCCTCTTCCTATATTCCAGGGCCTTTATTTATATCTGACTCATCTCAGAGGACTGATGTCTGTATTACTTAGGACAGGCCCACAAAGGATCTTGAAGTCCTTAGATAAGCATGCTACATAATTTGGGGCATTACTATTAAAAATACTTGAGCTTGGTATATAATTGTTCCATAGGCAGCCACAGACAAGCCCTTTCTTGAATAAAAGTTTTAATTTCCAGAAAAAAGCATTCGATACTTGTCTTTCCATGGGCAACTCTTAGAGCACAAAAAAAAAAAAAAAAAAAATCTAAAGCAGAAAAATCTCAATAATGCTTTTTAGTAAGAAGATATTATAAAATAACTTCAATTTGGGCCAGGCGCAGTGGCTCATGCCTGTAATCCCAGCACTTTGGGAGGCCGAGGCGGGTGGATCACGAGGTCAAGAGATCGAGACCATCACGGTCAGCATAGTGAAACCCTGTCTCTACTAAAAATACAAAAACTTAGCTGGGCACGGTGGCACGTGCCTGTAATCCCAGTTACTCAGGAGGCTGAGGTAGGAGAATTGCCTGAACCCAGGAGGCGGAGGTTGCGGTGAGCCAAGATTGCACCATTGCACTCCAGCCTGGGTAACAAGAGCAAAACTCTGTCTCAAAAAATAAATAAATAAAAAAAAATAACTTCAATTTAAGGAGCTTCATTGGCTGATTATCATATGTTAAGCATTGGGCTAGGATCTGTGAATAAAGAGAGGTCACAATTCAGCACAGGTAATAAACATGCACACTGTACCTCTAGCCATAATCCAGATGATAGGTGTCAAACTAACAGTATGAAAAAACATCAAGAGACTAATTCTGACTAGAGTGGTAAGAATCAGTCTTAGAGAAGACTACAGGCTGGTCATTCATTCAAAACATATACTATACCCTGAGCTGAGCTTCACAGGGAAAATGATTCTTGAGATGAGCTAGATGAGCAGAACTTGCGAGGGATATTCCCAGCAGAGAGTGCAGCACGTGTGATACCCAAAAGAAGCTGACATGTTCTGAGAATGTTGAATGTTCCTGTGTGGTAGAACCAAGGCTGTGGCTGGGGAAACCACAGAGAAAGACTGCAAGAATTTTGGAAGGGTCCATAGAATTTTGGACCTGGAAAACCTGGCCAGAGGGTCTGGAATTAATCTAAGTAACAGAGTCATCAAAGGTGGTTTGTTTTGTTTTGTTCTGTTTTTTGTTTGTTTGTTTGTTTGTTTTAACAACAGAGTAATCTGATTAACTCTGTGTTTTAAAAATCCCAGTCAAGAGTCAGGATAAAGGATGGCTTAGCAGGAACAAGACTGTAGTTAAGGAGAACAGTTAGGAAGATGCTGTAATATTTTAGATAAAGAGGTACAAATCTAAATTAGAATAACAGCTGTGAGAATGGAGAATAAGAATAGTATTAGAAAAGATGTCACAAACTGACAACACCACAAACCCAACTTTGTCTTGAATGTCTCATTTGAAGTTTGTTTTTACTTGAATTCATTGACAACATTATACAATCTGAAAACTACATAAAACCTAAATTTCTATCTCCTCTTTAGAAATCTAGAGATTTGTAGAATTGAGCCACATTTCCTCATGACAGTCTTTTGCCTGGCAGTAAGAAGTGTATGCTCTTTTTAGACAACATACCCTCCCCACCTGATCACATGCCCTTCCACCAACCCCTGCCCGTTTTATTTTATATGCCAAGCTCCTATAGACATTTGAGAGTGATTTCTCGGATTATCTGAAGAAAATCAACATGTCTCTGTGGTAAATAAGTAGGGGAAAGTGAGAGAAGAGGGGCATTTTCACCTCCAGAGGTTGATGGCAGAGAGTGAGGGAGGAGAGGCAGGTTCAGTCCCAGAGGTTGATGGGTAGAAAGGAAGGAGAGAGGAAGCGGGGGCACGTTCAGCCCTAGAGGTGAATGGGTATAAAGAAAGGAGAGAGGGAGCAGGGGCAGGTTCAGTCCCAGAGGTTGATGGGTAGAAAGGGAGGAGTGAGAGAGGACGGGCAGGTTCAGCCCCTGAGGATGACAGGCATAAGAGAATGAGGGAACAGGGGCACGTCAGTTGCAGGAGGTGACAATTTGAGTTGTAACTACCTGAGATAAGGAGCATGGGAAAAGGAACAACTTTGGTGAGTGAGATTATTAGTTCCATTTTGGACATACTGAGTCAGTCTATTATTAAATGAATCTATCTACTGGTGTGATTAAAGGAAAACCATCTTCTCTTACAAGCCTTTAAAAACAGTCTCTCCATTAAACCAACCTGTAAAAATTCTCTTTTATTCTGCCAAAAATATCTTTGACCCAAAACATATAAATGTTCTGTATGCATAAAGAGATGTCATTTTAATTAAATTTACATTTAAAGTATCACAAGGAATTTTTATTCTTCCTGTCATTATTTATATAAAGTATTGCCAAAATTAAAAGCAAAGGAAATTAGCTTTTCTAGTTAATGTCATAAGACATTAAATATTTTTACTCTGCTGGAGTAAAGAATTAGAAGATTTTCAAAAATCTTTATAGAGTTAATTTAATCTTACTAGAAAGGACGGTAGATAAAGATATTAAGAAGATGATTTTTCCCTAATAAGGAGAAATGATAAGATAAATGAGTTTCAGCCCTGAAATTAATTAGAAACAAATTATTTATGGAGAATTAATAGGTTATTCCACATTACAAAATATCCTCTCTCTACCTTCCTCCTATCCATTCAAAGTACTTAAACGTTCAGCCCTAGCCACTCTAGATTCACTGTGATATCTTCCAATACATATTCATCTCTCCCTTCTCTAAACCCTTTACTTTTAGTTTCTGTAATAAGATTTCAGCACTCATCCCCTTCCCATAATGGTTTCATTCGTCTTCTTTTCACTTCTCTTACAAGGCAGTAAGTTCACTGAATAAAGAAAACAAAGTTATATTTCTTCTATGGTTCCCAGAATACTGTGTGCACATTAAGTGCTTGTAAATACTTTTGGCTGGTTGAGAGATAATTAAGTGGTAATAAAACATAAGTTCTGGACCCAGCCTGATCCCAACTTCTTCACTTACTAGCTGTGTAATATGGGTAAGTTATATAATCCTTTTCTGCCTCCATCTCATCACTTGTAAAATGATAGCACCTGTGTCATAGGGTTCTTGAGACGTTTTTTAAAAAGTTAACCAATGGAACACTTAGTGCTTGGCCTATATTAAGTTCTCAATAAATATTAGCTATTGTTATCATAAGTCTAGGCTCCATACAAGTTGTCCAACCTTGAGTAAATTATTGCATCTTGCTATGCCTCAGTTGTTTCTTCCAAAAATTAGAAATACTAGTACCTGCTACGTAGCATTCTTCAGTAATTAAATGGAATATCATATGTAAAATACTGTTTGAAAAATGACTGGAACGCAGCAATTACTCAAGAACTATTGGCTATTACTATTATCAGTATCATTATTTTACTAGTGCCAAAGTAACCAGTCAATTGGCTGTTCAAGGAGAGAGAAGTAAGTGTGTTGGGATTAAAAAAAAAAACAACAATCTAGATTTCTAACAGGTAGAAATGATCTCCGACAATGTTCTCATATATTTTAACAACTTTTTTTTGCCAAGGAAATACCATCACTTTTTATAATAAATGAACAACTAGTCCCATGTGGACACCTCAAGTCAGCAAAGTGGTAAAAGCTCAATGATATACTACACCCTCATTTGTATCATTTGTACAAAGGCAAAGTTGAGAATTCAGCTACAAATACATGGGGAAAGGTTTGCTAAGCAAATTAATAGGACAAACAATAGTTTTTAAATGTCTAATTATTTCTTAGAATAAATTGGTATTTAGTACTTTATAAGTACCCATATACATAGGAAATTAACATGTTCCAATTTCAAACTACTAGTTTTTCAAGGTCTACTCTTTAGAAACATATTTACAACCTAGTTTTAGTGATCATGCATCTTTAAAGTAATAAAAAGTAATTTCTTTTAATTTAAGAAACACAAATATTAAATTTTTAAGTAATTATATTTTAATTCAACAAAATGCCATTTTACACCAACTATGTGTCAAATTCGATTTGAATATTATTTCATTTAACCTAACAATATCTTTGCCAGTATGTATTATTAACCCATAGCTACTAGCCTTGGTCACCCAACTCATGCAGTTGAGCTACAATTTGAACCCAGGCCTGTCTATTGTAAAATCCATGTCTCTTTCTATATCATGTAGTATTTAGAAAATATTTATTTGAAAAATGTGCTGCCCTCCAAATATGTATGGGTTAAAAATGCTAAATAAGCTGGTCATTCACAAATACAAATGAATAATTCAGTATGAATCATGCATCATTTGATGACAGGTATACATTCTGAGAAATGTGTTGTTATGTGACTTCATCCTTATGCTAACATTATAGATTGTACTTAGACAAACCTAGATGGTATATGTGTGTGTGTGTGTGTATATGTTTATATATATATGTGTGTGTGTATATATATATGTATATATATACTTTCATATGGAAAACCAAATGCCCCAGCACCATTACTAAATAACCATTTCTCCTACTCAATCTGCAATGTTTGATTGAGTACTTGATATATGTATCAACAGTCATATATCAAGTTTCTATATATGCTCCATCAAAATCTTACAGGACCACCATCACATATGTGGTCCATCATTGACCAAAGTGTTATGTGGTGCACGACTGTAACTGACTTTGATTCCTGGCTGTTTCAAAAAATTAAATGTATTTTTAAAATTACATTTAATGTAATATAATAAAATGTAATGCAACAGTTTTCTTCTATAGACTATATTCAAGGAATGTACCACACATGTTCATAGGATGTATCACAAAAATAGTATGTTGAACAGATAGAAGCCAGGTACAAGAGAATGGCATGGATGATCCCATTTATATGAAGTTCTAGAACAGGCTAACCCAATCTTTAGTGATACAGATTAGATCAGTTTTCTAGGGTTAGGGTGGGGTAGGGTGATAAATAGATTGACTACAGAGGGGTATCAGAAAACTTTCACAGGGTGAAATAAAAATTCTCTATATATTTTTTTAAATTATATTTTAAGCTCTGTGGTACATGTACAGACCATGCAGGTTTGTTACATAGTTATACACATGTCATGGTGGTTTGCTGCATCCATCACCCTGTCATTTACATTAGGCATTTCTTCTAAAAGTTCTACATCTTAATTGAAATTGTAGTTACACAAGTATATAAGTTCGTCAAACCTCATCAAATAGTGCATTAGAATGTAGAAATTTTTTTAATGAAACAGAAAAGAGGAATTTATATAAAAAATAACATAAATTTCTAATTTCCAAGTATTAGATTATAGCAATCTAATAAACATTAGTGGCTAATATTGGCCAGGCGGGGAAAAAAAAAAACGGAGTTAGTTATTTTAACATCAAAAGTTAGCCAAGCACGGTGGTTCATGCCTGAAATTCCAGCACTTTGGGAGGTTGCGGAGGGCAGATCACCTGAAGTCAGGAGTTCAAGACCAGCCTGGCCAATATGGTGAAAGCCTGTCTCTACTAAAAAAATTAAAAGAAAAGAAACAACAGCAACAACAAAAATTAGTTGGGCATGGTGGAGTGTGCCTGTAGTCCCAGCTACTTGGCAGGCTGAGGCAGAGAATTGCTTGAACTCAGGGGCTGAGGTTGCAGTGAGATGAGATTGTACCACTGGACTCTAGCCTGCATAACAGAGTGTAACTGTGTCTCAAAAAAAGAAAAAAAAAGTAGAGTTTAAGATAATATATACATAAGATATAAAGTATTATATACTCAGGAAAGAAAAATATACTTAGAAAACATAGCATATGTATATATATATGTGTGTGTATGTATGTGCTAGAGCCTGGAAAATAATTAACCTAGAGATTAGGAAGTTCAACACATTCCTCTCAGAATCTGATAGATCAAGCAAATAAAAGATCTGAGTAGCATTATTAATAAGTTAAGCAACTAATAAACAGAAAAGCATATTGAGAATAAAACATTTACGTAATTGTACAGGAAAAGATGTGAAGCCTGAATAAATTATGCAAGATTGAGTTCATAAAGTTCATACAGACTATATTCTTTGACATTAATGCAACAAAATTAAAAATCAGTAACAAGAGTGAAGCCGTCCTTACAGGGTTAACAAGAGTCACATGCCAGATTCTAGACAGAATAAGTATTAATCAGCTTGCACTTTGTCTCACTCCTTTATAGCTGTTGACTAACCAAAAGACACAGAGCACTAGATACTGACCATGTGCATGCACATTGTTCCTATATATAGGATCTCTGAACTTAGGATCATAAAGCTTTTATTTAAGAATTTCATATGATGTTTTTCAGACCCCGAATTCCAGCAGAATGGCTGATATCAACCAGTTTCAAGACCCTTACAGAATGAGAATCTCCCTACCCCATGACTTCACTTCGCACTCTTCAACCAATCAACAGTCCCCATACCTTGGCCCATTACTCTTTCAAACCCTTTAACATCCCTAGCCCCAAACTCCTTGGGGTGGCATATTTGGGGTTTCCTCTCTTCTCATACAGCGACTTACCATTAAACCTCTTTCAGTGTGCCTGTGTCTCAGGGTATTTACTTGCTATACATCAGGCACCAAACCTGTTATGTTAACAAAAGAATAACTACAATAGTCCTATATATCCAGAAACTTAGAAGAAATACAAATCTTAGGTTAAAAAGGACATCTCAAGGAAAATATGAAAAATGAAGAACTGAAAGACAAGAAATTACTACATATCAAAACTTATGGGAAACATAGAAAAAAAATTGACCATCAAGTGCTTTTATCATTGTTAGTAGCAGTGAATTGTATAGGTCTGCAGCAACCTCAATTTTAGCCTCCTCAGAAGAAAGAACTCGATGGAGGGCATAAAGCAGAGGGAGGGACTGAGGCAAGATTTAGAGCAAGAGTGAAACTTTATTAAAAAGTTTTAAAGTAGGAACAAAAGTAAAGTACGATCGGAAAAGGGCCAAGTAGGTTACCTGAGAGATTCAAGTGCGCGGTTTGAGGTTTGACTGGGGTTTTATACATTGGTGTGCTTCCGGGTTGCATAGCTTCTCTCCTTATTCTTCCCTTGGGGTGGGCTGTCCGCTTGCACAGTGTCCTGCCAGCGCTTGGGAGGTGCCACATGTGCCCTGTGTTTACTGAAGTCGTGCGAATCCTCACTTTGTTTTGCCTTACTAGTCCAGCATTACTAGAGGAAGGTCAGATACCAATTAAACGCTGCCATTTGGCCTCTTAATGCGCATGCCTAAGCCCACTTGCCCAACTCCTGAGATCTTATTGGGAAGCTGCTGATACCAGTTTCAGGTGTTCCTTTTTATTGGAAGACTGCCTTTACCTGGCGCTGGCTGCAAGCAACTATTATTTTAGAGAGACAGTTTAACAATAGCCTGACCATCACCTGATGGTCATCTGACATGCCTGGTGTGTGGGGGGCTTCTCCTGCCCTGCTAATGTCTGAACTACCTACTGTAACATCATCAAATGAGAAAAACTGAAAACAATAAGCTCAAACTTCAACATAGAAGCCAGGAAAACAGCAACAAAGTAAACCATCCCCCTAAAAGCCATCCCACCAAAAAAAAAAAAAAAAAAAAAAAAAAAAAAAAAATCAAGAAAATTATAAAAGAATGTTACAAACAACTACATGGCAGTAAGAAAGTCCAGGGAAAATGTGATACATTTCTGAAAAAAACAGTACCATAATTGGCACAAGAAGAAATTTTAAAATTGAATAGACCAATAATGGCTATAAAAGTTAAAATAATAATAAAATTTTCTCTGTCCACCACTAATAGAGGTCCATTTAGTTTAAAAGATGCGTTCTGCCGAACTTCTAAAAAATACAAAATCCCCATTTTATAGAAATTATTGTAAAATACAAGGGAGAAAAAGGAATTCTGCCTGATTTAGTTTATGAAAGTAATACGAAATTTAAGACTAAATTTTTATTCGAAAACAAAATAAGGGCAAATTCAGAGGAGAAAATATAGGCCAATTTAACTTGTGAATTTAAGTATAAGAATTCTGTGATGGTTAATATTGTCAACTTCACTGGATTGTAGGATGCAAAGTATTGTTCCTGGGTGTGTCTATGAGGGTGTTGCCAAAGGAGATTAACATTTGAGTCAATGAACTGGGAGAAACAGACCCACTCTCAATCTGGGTGGGCACCATTTAATCAGCTGCCAGCATGGTTAGGAAAAAAGCAGGCAGAGGAACGTGCAAGGACTAGACTGGCTACGTCTTCTGAACTGCATCTTTCTCCTGTGCTGCATGCTTCCTGCCCTCAAACATCAGACTCCAAGTTCTTAGGCTTTTAGACTCTTGGACCTACATCAGTGGTCTGCCAGGGGCTTAGAGGCCTTTGGCCACAGACAGAAGGCTGCACTGCTGGCTTCCCTTCTTTTGAAGTTCTGAGACTTGGGTTGGTTTCCTTCCCCTCAGCTTGCGGATGGCCTATTGTGGAACTTCATCTTGTGATTATGTGAATCAATGCTCATTAATAAACGCCCCTTAAGGTATACATCTATCCAATTAGTCCTGTCCCTCTAGAGAACCCTAATACAAATTCTAAATAAAATCTTATGTAACAAATCCACCAGGGTATTAGAAGGAATTCTAATAACTCAAAGATTAACATGAGAAAATCAGTCAAGATATTTGGTACATTACTGGAAAAAAGAGAAAATAATAAATTAATAAATAAAATTTCAATAAGGTTCACCATATATTTATAGTTTTAAAAACTTTTAAAAATAGAAATGAATGGGAATGTCCTTAATGTGAAAAAGGCAATCTATCAAAGCAGTAGATCAAACAACATGAGTAATAGAAATATTTCAGAAATATTGTCATTAAAGTCAAGAACAAGATAAGGATATCTGTTATTTACTGGAAAACACAGAAACAAGAGAAGTCCTAGTAAATACAATAAGAGAAGAAAAAACATTATTTGTTTTGTAGCCCTCTCTCTGAAATCACCTAACCCAGAGTTTTGGATATAGTAGGTACTCAAATACGCTCTGAACATTTTGAAAGGTAGAGAACAGCAATTGATATTTACTGCATGAACCCAATTTAGACTATAAATCTGTCCTATCCACCTGACAAAGTATAAAACAAAGAGCCAATGAGCATGGAGAGTACCCATGGGCTTAGTTACATAACATTTTACTTAGAATTTGTATTAGGGTTCTTTCAAGGGACAGGACTAATTGGATAGATGTATATATAAAGGGGAGTTTATTAAGGAGTGTTGACTGCTTCTAGAAAATGCAGCCTCTGGAAGAAGACTGCTTTGTCAACACAACAAAATATGTGCAGTACATGTACATAAATAAGAATGAACTATATGCATGTTTAATTAACCAATAAAGATTGATAGAAAGAATAGGCTACAGAGTCCTAAATGTTTAGAGAATGTGAGAAAGCTTGAATACAAGTGTTGGAAAACCTAGGCTCAAACCCAGTGGTACCACTTCAAGTAGTGTAGCCTGGGGAAGATCATAACACCTCTCTAAGAATCAGTTTCATCTTTACAATAAGTATAAAACACATACACTCACATTTCTTATCACCATTAGAGTCTTAAAAATCATGCAAGTTAATATGATATCTAATATTTAATGTTACAGTTTACAAAGCAATTTCATATAAATTATCTCACTTTAATCCTTAAAAATTATATGTGAGGTTGATATTATTCCTATTTTTCTATTACTTATTTTCCACTAGATTTCAAGTTTCATGGGAGCCTGAATTTTGTCTTCCTGTTCATCACTGTATTCCCAAAATTTAATGTTAATGTACCACATGAGACACTGTAGGTACTTAAAATTAAACAAAAATTATAAACTAAGGTTCAGAGATATTGTGACTAGCTGAAGCTGGGATGCAAGGGAAAAGCTTTTTTTTACTGGGCTTATTATAGTACAAAATAGTATTATGACTAATACCTGACATAGAAACTGGAAAGTAAAACCATCTTATTTAATGAGTCCCAAACAGATTTGGATAATCTACAGCAAAATGGCAAGTAGACAGTGATAGAGGATCTATTAAAGTTCTCTCATGATATCACTTCTGGAATTATACACTGAAAAAAATAAGTTTATTCAGAGATTTTCACCTTTAAAATATATTAAGAAGACATATTTCCCAAGCTTAACAAAGGCTATCACTTTTAAGAGTATCTTGAAAGTTTAGAATATTATTAAAAACAAATACGTTGTACTACCTTTTGGAGAGAATGAATAGAGATGAACAGAAAGTCCAAAAGCAGAGGCTGAGTGGAGAAATCAGCATCCATGGGAAACATCCTTAAATAAGTAATTGGAAAGCAACAGTTCTTATAACGCAACAGGGAAAAACTGCCTGAGGAGTTTTAATTTTAAAGCTAAAAGAAACCTGTGAATAATGTAAGAATAATCTGTTTGTAAATAATCTAGAGCTAGGGCTTGCTTTGTGAGGTGTCTTGAGGGAAAAAGGAGGAAAGCAGAATAAAAGTTAGTGGTTATTGTGCTAGTTGAGTAAGAGTTAACATTTTATGTTAAAATATTAGTTTTTAAAACCTTAATATATCTCTTTTTCTGCTTATTTCACCTCTTACCTACCAACATATCTAATTTATAGAAATATATTAATGAGTAGCTATAGTCTTTCAAAAAAATAATAACGTGTTACCGTTACTTCCCTTATCAAGTTATACTCCTCCAGGGTTAGCCAAACTACAGCAGAGCTTTTGTCCCCCCAGTGGAAATGCCTGGAATTGCAGGAATAGTTTAAAGAGGCGCAAACCTCTAATACATAATTGAAGAAAACCCAGATCGCCATTCATGTGTTCAACAAACACTTATTAGGCAGTAAAAAACATGAGCTGCTAGTACATGAAGATGAATTTCAGTGGCAGCAAAGTTTCAAAATACTTAGGAGTATATACACTGGAGTGGCTGAGGGCTCAAATGAAACAAGTATCTAGCACATAACATTAAAATATTGAATTCCAATTATTACAATCTAATTAATGTTTGTTCTGGTTGCACATTTATTAGTACCTTGATATATTATCAGCACCATATGTATTATAACAGGATTCCAGCTCACGAGAGAGTAATTTACTCTAATATATATCTCATGGAGATCATTTGTTTACTCCTGACTATGCTAAAGTCCTGATAATTTGTTGGGCCAGTTTGAGTACCTGTTGCAACTGATAGTTGCCAAAAAAAAATTTAAAAAGTAAAAGAAAAAAATGATGTGTTCTGATGAGCAATTTAATACAGAATGTGCACTATTCACTTTTCTTGGATGCTGCTTAATTTCACCACACCTCAGGAGAAGAAAAACCTAAATTTCATTTTATTTTGCAACAACATAATCTAAAACACTCTCACCTGTGAATTGAAATTCCTCCTTTAAAACCTGTTGAAAACTATGACTTTGCTGACTAGTTCAAAACAGTTGCAAATGCATAGTCTATAATTTAGGGCCTCAGCAAATTTAAACTATTTCCTGGCCTGCCCAAGGCCACAGAAGTTGCTGTCGTAGGCTCTGGAGGCAGGTTGTAAGGGAACTAGTGGATGCATGAAAGTCTTTTAAAAATATACGTTAACTTTTTGTTTGTTTCTATTTCACTCAGGGTTACCTAATGAGCCAAGATCCCATGCACAGAACTTCACCTCTTGATTAGAATATAAACACTTGATGCAGAGGTGTTTTCTCTCTTTGGACTTACCTTTAGTCTTGAAATAGAAAGAACTGATGTCCATATCTATGTGTAACCTGCTTCCTGACTTAGGAAATGAAATCCACTTTTCAACCAGTCTATTTAAACAGCTCCAGGAAAAGTCATCCATTAAGAACAGAGCTGGATACAATAGCAAAGACCTGGAACCAACCCAAATGCCCATCAAGGATAGACTGGATAAAGAAAATCTGGCATATATACACCACAGAGTACTATGCAGCCATAAAAAAGGATGAGTTCATGTCCTTTGCAGGCACATGGATTAATCTGGAAACCATTATTCTCATCAAACTGACACAAGAACAGAAAACCAAACACTGCATGTTCTCGTTCACAGGTGGATGTTGAACAATGAGAACACATGGACTCAGGGAGGGGAACATACACACTGGGGTCTGTTGTGGGGTAGGGGGTCTAAGGGAGGGATAGCTTGGGGGTGGGGAGGTTGGGGAGGGATAAGATTGGGAGAAATGCCTGATGTAGGTGACGAGGGGATGGAGGTAGCAAGCCACCATGGCATGTGTGTACCTATGCAACAATCCTTCAAGTTCTGCACATATACCCCAGAACTTAAAGTACAATAAAATAAAATTGAAAAAAAAAAAGAACATAGCTGGAGATACAAAAAAGATTCAGATCCGTAACCACCCATTCAGGGTTTTTAGTTTTTATTCGAGGAGATGTTACAAAGGAAGCATGTGAACACTTGAACAGGAAATGTCATAGAGAAAACTCAGCAAGACAGACAGGGGAAGAAAGGCTTTGCTTAATTGTTCTCTCAAAGCAAAAGTATCCCACTTTCAGAACCAATTTTGTCTTTCAATGGAATACTCAGGAATATGTAACCTTAGATGAATTCATATTTCTCCTTTCCTCTATCTTTTACTTCCATTAAATATGTTTTGGAGGGATAACAAAAACTTTAATAGCAATTTTTAGGAATCTCCCTTCTATATTTTCACATTTGGCTCAGAACTTCCTCTGGAACTGCCTTCTATATAACATACTCACTATTTGTTACTTAGATGTTCTTGTTTCTTCAAACAAAACATAGAGGTAAAGAAGTTTGGTCATCAGAGTAAAGAAACTGTTTACAAAAGGGCCAAACACCACATTATCTTGAAACTGAAAACATCCAAACCTTTTCCTGAAGTTAACCGTCTTTTGAGCCCAAATTTCTGGAGAGTGAATGAGGACTGAAGGAATCAGGGTTGGCAAGAAAAATGTCTCTCCCCCTGAAGCTTCTGGCTGCATATTCTGAAAAGACAGGGCATTTGAAGAAAAAGCATAATCAACCTGTCGGAAACATTTTGATTTCACTTAAATACCAGGCAAACTGACAACCACTTTTCCCACAACTGAGAAGAATCTCCTAACATGAGAGGCACTTGAAGACGTGTTAAAATTTTTACAGCCATTAACACATTCCTAAGAAAAATACTGCTGGGGACAAAAGAAAGCCAAGGATAACAATTTTCTCTTTCCAATGAAAATGTTTAGTCTGTTTGATTAAAGGAAGATAAATGAAAGGGCAAGGGCAAACTCACCTCACATTCTGTGCTACAGTTTGATTTGCCTTGAGACCAAATTGTCTAGCTTAGGAAAAATGTAGTCTGCCTTCAAGTCCCTGTATTCCTGGAGCAAAGAATCTGATGAGGAAGCACTTAGCAGTCAGCACATCTCAGCTGGCTCTGAAGGGTCTGAATTCTCTGGCAACATTGACCCGGGATAAGTGGAAAGGAGAAGGCAGGGCATAGCCATCAATTTATGTTTCCTTCTTCTCCTTATCCCTATTACAAGTGATTCAAAGAGAGGTGCAGAGAGCCCTCCAAGAAGAACAAAACCGTCTGGCTCAGGGGACCTGGGCTCTGGTTCCAGCTCTGCAGTAACTGTGACCTTGAAAATCTCTTTGCTGTCATTAAGCTTCAGTATTCTCTTCTATCAAATTAGGGGGTTTGTCTAAAACAGTATTTTCACACTGTGAGTTGAAGCCATTTGTGGGACATATAGTCAGTTTAGTCAGTTGCAACAGGCAATGTTTGGAAAGGAAAAGGATAAGATAAGGGCTAAGGTAGAGAATGGGATGGGATGGGATGGGATGGGATGGGATGGGATGGGATGGGATGGGATGGGATGGGATGGGATGGGACATAGGATAAGAAATTAGGACAAAACAGGATAGAATGCATTACACTGTTTCCTTTTTTAAATTGGTGTTGTTCACAGAAGCCAGCATTAGTTCATGTTTTTACAACTTCCCCAGGTCTGCCAGGCTTCTTGATCTCACTTCTTCTAAAAGAAATCCCAGGCAAGGTTGTATAAGCGGTAGACAGTGCCACCCAGACACAGGTCTACAGTCCATCGTATAGGATGTTGTCAGTTGTCCTGCCCTTTAAGTGCACGGTGAGGTCATTGTCCACCTAAATTCATCAGGAAAAACCTGGTGTGGGTGTAGGGGTACCTGTTGAGAAAGGGGTGCTGGTTCTTATAGCATATCCCCTGCCTGCCCTGGCTGGGCTCTGACCCAGCTGCTCAGCAGACTGGGGTCCTCTTCTGTATGGTATATTCTTTCCTGAGACTTTCTTTCACTTAATTAGGTGTGTGTATGTGTTTGTGTGTGTCTTCCTGTCTTTGTGTGTGCATGTGTGTTTTGAAATATAGTTCTATGTATTGTGTCTAGAAAAATATTTGATAAACACTGGATTAAATGACCTCTCAGATTTCTTCTAGCTCTAGCCATGTGGAATTTGGTAAACTATGCAGACACCATTCTGATCAGCCTCTACTCTGGGTCCATTCCAGGTCTCAATACACTACACTACTGAATATGAATCTAATTTATGTGATTTGAGGCCATTGAAATTTTGTGTACATTAATGTTCATGTATTGATGTGCAAGTGTATTTGTGTTTTTATCTCACCTAACACAGGACCTAGCCACATTGCCAGAGCTGAAGTACAATGTGACTGACTACAGCAAAACAAAACAGTAGTGTATATCAATGATCTTCAACATTGAATACATTCATTTCCAGAGAAGCCGGGGGCTATGTTTGAGTGCCTGGGGCTATGTCTGCTTGATGAACAAAAGGAATAAGTGAGGGGACATGCATTGCTGTAGTCTGGTACCCACAAAGAATGCTCCTTTGTGAATACGCCACTGGGAAAGTAGTTGTTTATAGAACTGAGTGATGTGGTCCTGTGACTTGAAAACACTTGAAACAAGAATATAATTGCTACACAGTCATTTCAAAATTCCTGTTTTACTCACTGTTTTATTCGTTGGGCATAGCACTGTGCCGAAGACACAGTAGACACAATAAGATAGCAGTTGGAGTCTTACGTTACTTTGCTAACCTGGGGAAAATCTTCTATTTCTGTAGGCTGGCCCTTGGTTCCTTCTAATTAATTAAGGACAGGAACAACTATAATATTCATCCCATTAGCCAGAACCTAGTCATATAACACCAACCTAACATAAGGAGGTTCATATCCATGAAATAAAGATGGATATTTAGTGAGTACTAATAGTCTCTGTTAATATGATCACTCCCTCCCTCCTTGAAACACTTTAACTTAGCTTTCAGAATACAACACTTAGTTTTCCTTTGATCTCATTGGCATGTCCTTCTAGGTATTCCTTCTGCTCTGTTCACTGCTATTCCTTTGCTCAACATGAAGTTCAGTGACTTCATGTTGTTGACTTGAAATCATTCATGGTGGGAGTGTTTATACCACAGTAACTGGCAAATGCCACAAATCAGGGCTTTGTCTTTAGAGAGCCAATTGTTATAGGTTTATTGGCTCCCCACGGGCTCTATTTCTATTTTTAATGGTTCTGCTAGAAATTTTATTATGGATATTTAACTTAACAAGGTCTAAAATTTAAAAATGTCTTACAGATCTTTAAAATAACAGGTTTCCCTTCACTGAAATTATAAAGTACAGTTGTAAAAAAAAAAAATAAAATAAAATAAATAAATAAATAAAGTACAGTTGTCCAATATTTTAGTTCTGTATATTTTGTAACACCATAAAATATATGGTGTTATTTTATTTTATACAATGTTTAGATTTCTGTTTATCATTTACATTCTCACTATTTTTGATATCTAGACCATCCTTCTGAGATCAGTCTCCTTTTTCTTGAAATCTATGCTTCATGAGTTCCTGTAGAGTGGATTCTTTGCTTAGTAAATTCTCTAGAATTTTGTAAGCTCTCTTGCATCTGTATTTGCCCTCATTCTTCAAAGATATTTTTGTGTTTTGTTTTTGGGGAGGAGGAGGACAAGATTCCAGTTTGACAGTTACCTATCAGCATTTTAAAAGCATTATTCCATAGTCTTCTGGCTTCCATTTTTCCCTGTGGAGAACACTGCTGTCATTGTAATTGTTGTTCCTGTGTAGGTGTTCTACCCTTTCTCTCTGGCTACTTCCTGTAATTTCTCCTTGTCTTAATATTCTGAAAATGTATTACAATGCTTTCAAGATGAATTTATTTTTCTTTATCCTGCTGGAGCTGTGTTGTGCTCCTTGAAAATGTGTAGTCATATTTTTATCAGTTTCGGAAAATTAACATCTGCCATATTGTTATATATTGCCTCTCCTCCATTCTCTCAAATCTCTTTTTTCAAACTCTTATTGAACAAGAGCAATTTTAATCTTCTATATCTTTTAATGCTGATACCACATTTTATTTAATCATTGCTGCAACATTCTAGATAGATTTTTCAGATTATTTTTCAGCTCACTAACTTGCTTTAATTTTGTTTAATCTGTTATTTTTACCTATTCATTAAGTTTTTTTAAATTACAACACTTGCAATTGTTTATTTCTAGAAGTTCAGTTGTTTTTTTTAAAACAAAAAAATGACCATATTTGTTTGTCTTTTGTTGTTTGGTCATCTTTTATTTGCATCCTTTATTTGGTTAAATGTTTCAAATTTACCAGTTAATAGAGGCTCAAATTTATTGTTTATTCTTTCTATTGACTGTCCTTCACATGGCCTACCTTCTAGTGTATTTAGTAATTTCTGTATATGAACTCATGGCGTGATATTTTTCTGTGAAAGTCCTACAGCCTTAACTTGGGGAAACACTCCTCCAGAGAAAGTTTTCTTCTTCCCCTGGTGGTGATCAGTGGTACTTATAACCCAGATCTACTTCAGTCCTCCAGAGGAGTTTAACCAAAGACCCAGAGTCAACTTCCTCTCACTAATATTTCCAATGCTTACTATCTTCATAACAGTGTTCTATAGTAACACAGCCCCAAAGCTGTGAGAATTTATCCCTCCAGACTACCTGCAGGATCTGGTACACTCCCTACTGCTCTCTCACCCTGCTGCTCCAACTCTCCTATTGTTCTGGCCCTGTTCTCTCACCTCTGCTTCCTTGATCGCAGCCACCCAAGGTCAGCCCGACTCCACTTGAGGTTACTGGCTGCCCTAAACCAAACATGGGGTGCTCAGGCCGTGTGCTTCAGGCAAGGCAAACAAAGTAGAACACCAGGAATGCGTTCAATTGGACAAAGAGCAATTTCCTCTGCCTGAAATATTCTCCATCCCCATTCCATTTCTGACTCTTATCTACCTGGAAAGCACCAGCTGTCTTTTAAAATACAACTTAAACATCACTTTTAGGAGGCCTCTGATGACCATGTCTGACTTATGCCCCTACTTGCCACAATAGGCTTTAAGACTGACTCTGACTCCCTACTTGCTCCTAGGTGACTATTATTATTATTAATTTTTTTCTTCTTTTTCTTCTTCCTCCTCCTCCTCTTCTTCTTCTTCTTTCTCTTTCTTCTTCTTCTGCTTCTGCTTCCCCTTCCTCCTCTTCTTCTTCTTCTTCTCCTCCTCCTCCATCTTCTCCTCCTCCTCCTCCTCCTTCTAATTATTTCTAATTCTTGGAAATAGTAAAATACATGCCTAAATACTAATAACAAACTTTTGATACTGTTCTCATGTGCAACAAAATTGCCAATATTATATTGAAAAGCAATAATTGGGAAGGTTTATTTCTGATCGACTCATTATTTCACTGAATATGCACTCATTTTTTGAAGTTAACAAGACTTTTTTCCAACTTTATTGGGATATAATTGACAAATAGAAATTGTATGTATTTAAGTTGTACAACTTGATGTTTACACACACACACACACACACACACACAAGGTGAAATGATAAATGATGACAAAAATCAAACTAGTTTGATTTATTTTCAACAAAATTGTTTTTAACCCAATTATCACTTAT